TGCCACCTAGTGTCACATCTGGGACTCTTCTGGGACGCACTGGTGGTTGAATACACACTGGTGATCCAGTTCAGCAGACTGAAGCTGAGCTCAGACGATATATTCAGATCTTAAATGACCTGACAGCTCTGAGCTGTTTGAGGATGTTTGAGGGGAAATCTGCCTATATTACAATCCGGGGCCGGAGGAGGTAAAAGGGGCCTCTGTGCTCGTCTGACAGTTGTTGCGTGGAGGTGGGCACGGCCTGCTGAACAAAGGTCGGCAGGCATCATAGATTTCAACGACAGGCTGACTCGCTGACAGACGCACATTTCGCTCCGCTGCTGTTGCCTAAAGAGACTGGGTGGGGGGGGTCAAAGGTTATGGCTGGAAGACGCAGCGGTGATGGGAGACTGTCACGGCCCAGCGAGCCTGACATGTAGAGTGAACTCATTCTGTCCAGCCAGCATGCTCATCTCAGGCTGCTAAATTAGATCCATTGCCAATTCATGGAAGTCAGACGTCTGACAGCACGCCTGTCAAACTCACAGGGACCGACCAGTGAGCCATCGCACACCACGCTGCTCATAAATAGGCCTACATGTAAAGTCAGGTCAGACTATGAGTCCTCGAATTGGCCTGATGTCCCTCCAGAAACATTGTCATGGGTAAAAGATGAAGGAAAGCAGCTGAAACAGAGCTGATGGATGTACACAGGAGACATATGAGGGAGCGCTGCAGTGGAAACGTATGAAAATGCAGAAACAAGTGAAAAAAACAACAGTTTTTATGGATATATATGTTTGTATTATTGATACATAATGATTAATAATCTGTGGAGTGAATATCAAGCATTTAAAACCGCCTACAGTGGCAATTTGGCTTTATTTCCCAGGAAAAACTCCGTTTCCCACAATTCTCCTCACATGGCGCATGCGTAGTTGCATCATAACGACATGAGCTGTTGTGTTTTCAGTAGCAACCGTTACTCTGCACTGAATAAAGCTGCTGTAAAAGGTAAGAAATGTTTAAAAAGTACGCACGGAAAATAGTTTTTATCAAATAAAAAGACACAGCTGTCTCCGCTGTAATATTATTATATTAATTATCATAATAGTGAAATAGTGAGCTAATGCTAGCCCGTTAGCCTCAGAGAGGAGTTGGAGATGATTTAGTAACAACACACTTTTTTTTTTAACAGACAGGATTTTCTAACTGTTGATACATTTACCTTCGTCCACATATGTGAATTATTTTATTTATTTATTATATTTCGTAAATCAGTGTACAGGATGTGACGCCAGACTGCGTTTAAAATCTGGCAGCTTTTCTTGCTCACCGGATAAAGTGCTGATCGATATTCCTGCAGACATCGGTTCACAACACACAACATCCTCAGAGGTCGAACCTCAGCTCGGCTGGTTTCTCACACAGAAAGCAGCTCGTATTTCAGTCATATTTCACATTTTAGAGGCAGCTCGACTCTTCCTGCTTCACACCGAGTCACCGCAGCGGCAGCGGCAAAGTGCGCAATAAAATATGAGATAATATTAAAATGAAATGTTCTCGGTGTGTCACATTGTCGCCGAATACATCAGAAGACACATCTGTCAGTAAAAAGACTTAACTCTGGTCTTTCTGTGAGTTGTTCCATCTCCATACGGACATTAGTTTTCATTTCATAGATTTTCAAATGGAGTCTCCCAACACAACAGGAGGGTTTATATAAGTTAGGGCGATATACTGACTGTGAATATAAAGTTTGAAATGTAAGGAATTTGATTTTCAGATTAAAACATGTCCACGATGTTCGATGAGACAGCAGCAGATGTTCCGGTCAGAGACTTCACAGTAAACCTGTCCCGACTGGCAGCAGGTCCACAAGGTCTGTCCCACTGCTGTCCCACTGCTGTCCCCTCTGCATACAGAACTACTGCCTCTGCCTCGTACTTGCCTCCTACTTGGCTCTGCTACTGTCTCCTACTGTCGTGCTACTGGCTCTGCGTTACTGGGCCCTCCTACTCCTCCTACCCTGTCTGCACTGCCCTCCACTTCCCTCCTACTGTCTCCTACTGTCTGCTACTGGTCTGGGCTACTGTCTCCTACTGCCTCCTATTGGTCTCCTACTGCCTTTCCTACTGGCCTCCTACTGTCTCCTACTTGCCTCCGTACTGTCTCCTACTGCCCTCCTTACTGTCTCCTACTGGCCTGCTACTGTCTCTACTGTTTCTGCCTTGTCCCTACTGGGGCCTCCACTGCTCTCCTACTTGCCTCCTTACTGCCTTCCTACTGCCTCCTACTGTCTGCTACTGTCTTCCTACTGCCTCCTTACTGTCTCCTACTGGGCCTCCTACTGTCTGCCTACTTGTCTCCTACTGTCTGCCTACGTCTGCTACTGCCCTCTCCTACTGCCTCCTACTGGTCTGCTACTGCCTCCTACTGTGCTTCCTACTGCCCTCCTACTGCCTCTACTTGCTCTCCTAACTGGCCCTCCTATGGCCTCACTACTGCTCTTTCCTACCTGTCTCCTACTGGGGCCCCCTACTGCCTCTACTGCCTGCTACATGCTCTCCTACTGTCTCCTACTGCCTCTACTGTCTCCTACTGTCTCGCTACTGTTCTTCCTACTGTCTCCTACTGCCTCCTACTGTCTTCCTACTGTCTCCTACTGCCTCCTACTGTTCTCCTACTGGTTCTGCGTACTGTCTGCTACTGTCTCCTACTGCTTCCTGACTGCCTCCTACTGCCTCCTCTGTCTCCTACTGCCTTCCTACTGTTCGTTCCTACTGTTCTCTACTGGCCTCCTACTGCCTCCTACTGCCGTCCTATGTCTCCTACGCCTCCTACTGTCTCCTACTGCCTCCTACTGCCTCCTACTGCTCCTACTGCCTCCTACTGTCTCCTTACTGCACCTCCTTACTGTCTCCTACTGGCCTGCTTACTGTCTCCTACTTCGCTTACTGTTCTCCTACTGGGGCTCCTACTGTACTCCCTACTGCCTCCTACTGCCTCGTACTGGCTCCATACTGTCTGCTACTGGTCTTCCTACTGCTCTCCTACTTGGTCTCCTACTGCCTCCTACTGTTCTGCTACTGGCCCTCCTACTGTCTGCTACTGGCCTCCTTACTGCCTCCTAACTGCCTCCTACTGTCTGCACTGGGCCTTCCTACTGGTCTGCCTACTGCGCCTCCTACTGTCTTTCCTACTGCCTCTATGTCTCTACTGTCTGCACTGGCCTCCTACTGTCTCCTACTGTTCTGCTACTGCCATCCTACTGTCTCCTACTTGGTCTGCTACTGCCTCTTACTGTCTCCTACTGTTCTCCTACTCGTCTGCTACTTGTCTCCCTACTGTCTGCTACTGCCTTCCTACTGGTCTCCTAGCGTCTGCTTACTGCCCTCTACTGCCTCTCCTACTGCCTGCCACTGTTCTCCTACTGTCTGCCTACTTGCCTCCTACTGGGTCGTCCTACTTGTCTTCTACTGGCCTTTCCTACTGCCTCTTTCCTACGTCTCCTACTGGCCTCTACTGCCTCCTACTGCCTCCTACTGTCTCCACTGCCTTCCTACTGTCCCTACTGGCTCCTACTGCCCCCTCCTACTGCCTGCTACTGCTGCTCTGGGCCCTCCTTACTGTTTCCTACTGTCTCCTGACTGCCTGCCTACTGTCTTCCTACTGCCCCTGCTACTGCCTCCTACTGTCTCCTAGCTGTCTCCACTGCCTCCTAGCTGTCTGCCTTAACTTTCTTACTGCCTCCTACTGTTCTCCTACGTTCTCTGGTCTGAATGCCTTGTTTAGCACTGTGTTTATAAAAAGCTTCCAAAATCCCTGATGGTTAAAAAAAGTTTGCTTTTTATGGTGAAAGGGACTCGTCGGTTGTATCAAAATGGCTCGGACGCACAGGACATCTCGGGCGTGTCCAGGGAGGAGGCTGGAGGACCGTTCTGCGCTCAATGAAGGGACCCTGCAACCTCAAATCAGCACATTCACCAAAGCAGGACGACGAAGATCAAAGAAGTGAGATTCACACTCACTCACACTTCATCACACACACACAACACACACACACACAGACACAGACACTCACACACTCACACACACACACACACACACACACACACACACACCACACACACAGACACAGCACTCACACACTCACACACACACACCACACACACACACAGACACAGACACACACTCAAACCACACACACACCATCTCACATCCACTATCACACACACCACAACACACCACACACACCACACCACATCACAGACACACACCTCCACACAGGTCTCATCTTTCATCACACCACCACCCCCTCCTCATCACTATACCCTATGTCTTACTTTATTTTCTCTACTTATTTTTCTATCATTCATTCCCAGTTGCACATCACTCTCATTCTGTGTCTGTGTTACACATCCTTGTTTTCATTCATCTCTTTTATTCTCTATCATTCACAGCACACATCACACACACACACACACAGCACAGTCACACGACCAGACACACACACACACACACACACAGCACACACACACTCAGACACACATCACACACAGTGTCACACACACACACACACAGCACACCACAGCTGTCTCACACACACCACACACACACTCCACTATGGTTTTACACACACACACTTTCACACACCACCACAGAGCACAGACACACAGCTCTCACACACACACACACACTCACACCACACACACACACACACACACTCTCACACACCACACAGACACAGACACACACACACACACTGACACACACACACACATCACACTCACCACACACTCACACACACAGCTTGGGCACCACAGAATATACAAGACTTTCTTTCGAATATTACCATTTGGTTCTCCACTGATTTGATGAGCCCTTCCTCCTCCTCCCCCCCCTTCCCCCTCCTTCTGTTTGCCTTTTTCTTTCTTTCTCTCTTCCTCCCCCGCCCCCTTTTCCTCTCTTTTCTTCTTTCTCCTCCCTTTCAGGCTGGGTGTTCTCTTGTTTGCGGCTGGGTGAAGGGACCGCGGCCGTATGGAGCAGCTGGCGGCGGGTGGAGGCCAGCCGGGTCTGAGGGTGCGAGACGTGGAGATGGAGGAGATGATGGAGGAGCTCCAGGAGAAGGTGCGGGGCCTGCAGACGGAGAACGAGGGACTGAAACAGCGCCTCCTTGTGGCCAAGCAGCAGCTCATCAACTCACAGAGCAGGAGGCCAACGGCGTACGGCCACGTGCAGTCACGAGTCAACTCTGGGTTAAAGAAGCTGCGAGATGACGCCCCCTCCCCTCCTCAAACACGACCCAAAAGTACGTGACACACCTGAGCTGGTCTAAAGGACGACAGTCATGTTATACACACGTTATCAATTCCACCTCTGGAGACCGATCTGTGGTTCCACATCACATTTAAACACCGATGTATGAAAGGAAAGTACGGCCATTAAAACACCTTTTTAAATGATCTTAAACATGTCACATTCTGAATCATTTTATTTCCCTGTATTTGTCCTGTATTAATCTTGAAAGTGGAGTCAGTTAGTTGGTTAGTTAGTTAGCTAGTTAGCTTCCCCAGCTAATGTGATGATGAACGGTGAACGGTGTTGATTTTAGCCAAAGCCTCACTGTCAGTGTAAATAGATTGAAACCAGCCGGTGAAGAGTTCCTCCAAACTGCACGTGAAGCATAAAGTCCATAAATCCAGTATTTATTTAACTGTCTCCTGTATTTTTTATAGCTCCGTTTGTCCTCCTGCTGTTTGTTTTTCCTGCAATAATCTGGTTCTAACCGTCACGGACAGCGAGCAGGTAGAACAGTCATCGCTGTGGTTTGGTCTCCTGCAGGTACCAGGAGTTTGGAGGGAGGCGGGAGACCTCCGACTGGCCTCCTCCCTCGATTCGGACACAACCTGCTGGAGGAGGCGAGGGCCGAGATCCGCAACCTGTGAGTGATTCTTCTTCTTCCAAAGGTTCCTGTTGTTGTTTGTTGTGTTGAGAAATAACACAGCTGGTCAATAATCCATATTCCATCCATATTGATTAATACTGTGTGATATATACAGCTACATAATATTTGAACATTAGTTTAACCTCTGACCTTCTGTTCTTTGTCTCTCTGCCTCTTAAAACTAACAATGTTATACTGGTTACACACAGTGTGATACTGAAGCCTCTGTATGAGCTGCAGAAACAAACAGCAGAGAGCTGATGGTATATTTCTATATTTCCCCAGTGGAAACAGCTTCTGTCCACAGGGGCTTCCAGAATCAACACACACTGAGAGTTCCTGGTTGGGACTTTAATAATGCAGGTTATTAATGCCACCTGGCTGTGTCTGTAGTGAGCTAACTGTCTGCTGTTGTTGGTTCACCAGAGAGAACGTGATCGAGCTCCAGAGGAACCAGATGGAGGAGATGGACGGAGCCGCGGAGCTGCTGCAGGACGAACTGAGGAGGAAGGAGGCCGAATACGAGGAGAGACTCCTGCAGGCCCGACAGCAGCAGACCTCCAAACTGAGGTAGAGTGCTGCTGTATTATTATCAGTATTATTATGGTTGAACTGACCCTTTAATGCAGCTTTAATGCAGCTTTAATGCAGCTCTCACTTCCTGTCGCTCCACACATCTTCCAACCAGGAAGCACAATCAATCCAGATATTAGTGAAATATGGCCAATAAGCATCAATCAATCATACTGCATGTTTGTAAACAACAACCAGCTCACATCAGGAGTTTAATCAGTTGTTGTTATGAACACACACACACACACACACACACACACACAGTAACAGGTGTGTCTCTCAGGTCACATGTCAGCAGCAACGTGACGATGATCAAACTGCAGAAGCAGCTGGCCGACAGGTCCAACGCCGTGACGGAGCTGGAGGGACGGTTTCTGCAGCTGCAGGAGGTGAGGAGCCTCTTCATCATCTTCATCATCATCTTCATCTTCATCAGACCCAAGCTCAATCTGTGGGTTTCATCCATCATCAGCAGAGATCCTCAATGTCTGATTGTAATGTGATCAATAATATTCATTTAAGGTCACAAACAGCACAAACGAGTTAGAATAAATGATCCATTAACACTTGGTACAGATTATTATATTATAATATATAATATATATTATTATGGAGTCTTCGCTCACTACTGTCGTCCATTTCAGCCGTAAAGAACAGAACATTAGTCGTTCACTGGCAGGTCGACAGCTGTGGGTCAAGCTGAGAGCAGAGCGCCCTCTGTTGGATCACAAGACAAACTTCAGACGGTCTGTTGAGTTTATAGACTTTACATTTAAAATCAAACAGGTCATCACACTTCCTAAGTTAACCACGAACAAACAGTAACAGCCCATCAATCAATAATCTCCCAGCAGATAACCGACAATCACCTGCTTGTTAAACAGAGCGGGAACCCAGTGAAAGGTGTCATACTGAAGCTGCTGTCAGAGGGCTTTTATATTCCCTCTGTAGCAGGATACCTTCCACATACATCCAACAGTCAGTAGATACAGTCACTGTTGGTTCGCACACACTGACCCACCAGAGGGTTTAACATGTGATTACAGAGTCAGAGGACGCTGAAGGCGAGTCACGACGCAGCGATGGCGAAGGTGGACGAGCTGTCGGCTCAGCTCAAAGACGAGAGGCTGAAGAGTTTGGACCTGGAGAAACAGCTGCAGAGCTCCAACATAGCCAGGATACAGATGGAGCAGGTGATATTACAGGATCTCCTGACTGCTAGCTGTGCTGAGAACAGCTCATCGTAGACTCTTTGTGATCTCCGATAGAGCTGATTATCATTAGTGTCAGCTCTCTGCAGTCAGTGGATCATATAAAGACTCTTCCTCCGTCTGTTCCAGCTGCAGGAGCAGATCAGTGAGCTGGAGCAGGAGAGAGACCTGCTGAAGGACAACAATGACAAACTGGTCAACAGGTACTTTATACTTTCAGTAGTTCAGGTTGCACCATCCTGTTTATAATCTCAGTTTATAATCTCAGGCTGCAGCTTCAGGCTTTGGCTCCCAAACACAAATGAGGCTGTTTCCATATTTTCAGTTTCACTTTTACAATAAAATGGAAATATTTTATTATTATATATTAAAACAAAATGTATTAGATTTTTATCTGATCATTTGTCTTCAGTTTCATTTTATATAATAATATTAACACCATATATGTGTCCAATCACAGTTGAGACTCAGTCAACATCCTCCTTTCCTGTACTGAGATATGCTATGCTAGGCTAATCTATGTTGGAAACACAATCATATGATTTCTCAGTGATTCACAGTTTTTATGTGTGTGTGTGTGTGTGTGTGTTTCCAGTGCGTTGGATGTGTCGTGGCAGCAGAAATGGCAGATCAAGGAGCAGCAGCTGAAGTTACAGATCGTCCAGCTGGAGACGGCGCTGAAGGCCGACCTCGTCGACAAAAATGAAATCCTGGATAAAATCAAGGCTGAGAGAGGTTCTGCTCCAACTTCATATTATAAATATCTATTATATCCTGTAGAGCTGCTGTCTGAAGACTGACTACCTGACTGTAATCATACTAATATTAAATAGATAAATGTTGATGATTTAATTATTGTTTGTTTCCAGAAACAAGTGAGAAGCTGACAGAAGAAAATAAGAAACTTCAGATCCAGTTTCTGGAACAGAAGCAGCAGCTGGACGAACTAAATGACCGTCTGAAGTTCCACAGCAGGGTAAAAAACCAGCAGGGGCATTAGTGCAGGGACGGGGCATTAGTGCAGGGACGGGGGGCTGCTGCCTGCTGGGGCTCATTAACCAGTTCATTAATGACGTAGAATCATTAGTTTAACACACTAGTATTTCTGCTGACAACTAATGAGATTAACAACATTTAACTAACTGGTCGACTAATCACACACATCCCTCGTCTATAGAGCGTGTTTCTTTTTCATTTTGCAGATTAACAGAAGAAAAGGTTGAATACAAACTGTCAGACAGTGCAGGAGCCCTGTTCTGGAGTGGACTTTATCACTTTTCAGAGCTTTAACATGCACATAAAATCTATAAAATGTAATAAAGCACAGTAGAGTAGAAACCTATAGTTTTCAGTCACATTGTAAATTGATGACAGTATGGCGTGTGGTTGATATTAGTGTCTGACATCTTCAGACCTTCTTCAGGAACTAATGGATTACATTGTGTAATGCATTACATTGTGTAATGGATTACATTGTGTTGTTTGAAGGAGAACGAGTACGATGTGTCCGAGCTCACTGAGGCGCTGCTGCTCATTAAGGTAACAGGAAGATACATTTGAATGATTTATTATGTATTTTCTATATAACCTAATATATAAACGTCGCCCCCCCACAGACACGTAAGTCCCAGAAGAACGGGGACCTGGGCTTCCTGAAGGAGGTGGAGGAGGGAGGGAGCAGCGGCACGGAGAGCGCCGTCCGGGAGCTGCGAGCCGCTCACGCCGAAACCATCCAGGAGCTGCAGAAGACCAGAAACCTCCTCAGCATGGAGAGCCAGATCTGCAGAGACTACAAGGTGGAGGGCTGCAGTCGGTCTTTACCTTTATTGTTCTTTTCTTTCAGTGTATTCTATTAAAGCTGTAACATTATTTGGTCACTGTCAGTGCCACCGTGGTCCAGCAGACAGTGGGTGCCTCTGATAGTGTCAGTGCTCAGTGGACTTATATTGGATCTTCTCTTCATCTTCTCTCACCACCGAGGCGGAGCTGGAAGCCGTGTTGAGGAAGATAGACGCTGACAGAGTTGAGCACGAGCAGAAGGTTGAGCGACAGGCTCAGCTGTTGGACGCGAGGGCGGCGAAGATCAGGAAGCTGGAAGGTATTTATTGACCCAGGCTCTGTTGGTACTTTGTCCTGAACAGAACAGAACAACAGTGAGCGGTAACTCACCTCTGTCCTCCTCAGCTCAGCTCAGAGACATCGCCTACGGCACCAAAACCTACGTCTTCAAACCGGACGTCACAGACGAAGAAGAGGCCGATGAGTTCGATGACACTCTTCATCTGGAGCGTGGCGAGAACCTCCTGGAGCTTCAGATAGTCGGCACGGCGCTCTCTCCGTCCGCCCTGGAGGCGCTGGGCGACCACCAACCCTCCACCTTCTGCACCTACTCCTTCTACCTGTTCGAGATGCACTCCACTCCGGTGGCGACGGGCCAGAAACCCACGTACGGGTTCACATCTAAGTACGTGGTCAGCATGGACGACCACTTCCTGGACTATCTGCACAGGTGCTCCGTCACAGTGGAGCTGCATCAGGCCCTGGGTCTGGACTGGAGGACTCTGGCCACCGCTCAGCTCCGCCTGCAGCAGCTGCTGGAGCAGGATGGGAAGGTTCATGGGACCGTACCGCTGGTTGGTGAGTGGTTACTCCAAACTAACCATTCCTGTTGGCGGTGCTATTGAGAGGTTACGTAACGCAGCTGCTATACAGACTCAGTGTATTATATGAGACTGTGGGGATGATATAATAACTGAGATGTGTTCCTCAGGTTTGTCTGACGAGGTGCGGTCCTTCGGCTCCGTGGATTACTGGTTGAGGCTGAGGATCCCGATGACGGAGACCATCCGTCTGTATAAAGAGAAGGTGAAGGCTGCAGGCTATGTCCACACTGCACTGAACGAAGACGCACAGGTACCTGCACAGAAAACGTTATTACAGCGATTTTTTATTTATTTCTGTAGATCAGAATCAGCATTAGGCCCCTTTCTTAAAAAGGTTAAATAACAAGATTTGTAAAAGGAGTCTGGCATTGTGCTGTGTAACATCCACTGAGGCTACTGCACATTTCAGTATTATAATAGTGTTTAATGGTTTGTTTATCATAACTAATAATAATTACTGCGTTCTACGGGACTCTTTAATCTGTAATTATACATAATAAACTACTACCCTCTCCATGAACCTTTCACCTCTGTCCACCCATCAGCTGCATCCTCCCGGCAGCAGCAGCAGCGGTTGGAACGAGATCCACATCACAGTCCAGCGCTGCAGAGACCTGCAGTCCAGAAGCTCCCAGCAGCCGAGCCCCTACGTGGTCTACAAGTTCTCCGACTTCCCCGACTACCCGACCGCCACCGCCTACGACTGCTGCGACCCCGACTTCAACGACCTCAAGTCCTACTCTGTCCCGATGGATGCAGGTCTAGACCAGTACCTGAAGACCGAGTTCCTGCAGTTCTACGTGTTCGACTACAAAGAGGAGCAGATGGACGTGTACCTGGGGAAGGCCAGGGTGCCCCTGCTGTCCCTGGCCCAGGACAAAGGGATCACTGGTGAGGGTTTACTCTGCTGGCATCAGATCATCTGTTTGTTTTAGAGCTGAAACCATTAATTGATTATTTTGATAATTGATGATCTTCATTTTTCAAGAAAGCAATGTGATTACTTTAAAGGAAATAAATACAACAACACAATTTTAGCTGGATAACAGGCAGGAGCATCCAGCTAGCTAACTGTAGCTAAGCTAGGCTGGGGTTGTCCGGCTGGCTGTGTCTTGGCTGCGCGGTGTGGGTCTGCCGTTGGTTGATCTGTAAACGGCGAGCTAGTTAGTAGCATGGAGCTAATGGTCCAGACTCTCTCATTATGTGTGAATCTTTAGTGTAAGGAGTCAGACTGTTTCTCTCGTCTCCTTCAGGTGTGTTCGAGCTGACCGATCCCTCTGGACTCCCCGCCGGACACATTGAAGTGACTCTGAGGTGGAAGTTCACGTACCTCCCTCCTCCAGGCTCCATCATGACCGTCGAAGAGCCCAAGTTCATCCCGAAAGAGACGGCAAGCAAGCGGAAGCAGGAACAGCAGAGCGAGGAGGACGAGGAGAGAGACGAGGGCGTCGATGAGACGATGCAGGAAGTGAATCGTGTCTCCACCTCTCTGCCCGAGGTCTCTGCCGCTAAGGTCAGGAGATAAATGATGGTGTGCTGTCAGACTACCTGTAAAGGTGGATTCCTGTGAGCTTTAATCTGAATGTCTTCTCACCATCAGGCTCCGCTGCCAAAGCTCAGACACAAGACACAAGTGAAGGACGGACCGGCGGCCAAAAAAGTCACATTTGTAGATCCAACAGCTGCAGACAGAAAGGTGAGAGATCAGCGACTGTGAGCCTGAATGTCCGTTTATATGTGCTTCATATGTGAAAGAGACACACAGGGCGGTATCATCCACATCACCATCAGGGAATCCAGATGGGATTTCCTCTAGGAAGTCACAGCAAGGAACGTAAATTCAACCAATCTCTGTAAATCCTGTGTCACCCTGCAGTTAGTAAGAACACCTAACACTGACCCTCCAAACCGTGCGACTTTATTCTCACTGGATCACGTTACAGACTGATGAATAACAAAGAATGATGTGGTATTATGTGTTATTATGTGTTAATTATGTGTTACATATGTGTTTATTATGTGTTAATATGTGTTATATGTTATTATGTTGTTAAATATGTGTATATGTGTTTTATGTGTTAATTGTGTCTTAATATGTGTTATTATGTGTTAATATGTTTATTATAGTGTTATTATGGTTAAAATAGTGTTAATAATGTTTATTATGGTTTTTTTTGTTATTATGTGTACCTATTGTTAATAGTTTTACATATGTTGTCTATTATGTGTTAATATGTTTAACTAGTTTATATGTGTTATTATGTGTTAATAGTGTTATTATGTGTTATTATGTGTTATTAATGTGTAATATGTGTAATATGTGTTAATATGTGTTATTATGGTTAATTGGTGATTAATATGTGTTTAATATAGTGTTTATGTATTGTGTTATATAATGTGTATCATGTTTAATATGTTTAATATGTGTAAAAGCAGGTGTCTCTGTCGTAGATTTCATTACTGTGAAACCTGGCAGGAAGCCCAACGTGGAATATAAAATTGATTTTATTATAAAGCAGAGATGAGTCTGATGTTCCTGTTTTGTGAATGTCAGGCTGAAGACAGCCTCAGCAGCCAAAGGTTCAAAGTGTGTCTGCAGAGACAGACAGACGCTCATCCACCTGCTGTAAAGGTAATAATCAATATACAATCATTATTATGAAAAAATCTTGTAAATCCAAATGGCTCTGTGACATGCTCTGTGAATCAATGCTCTCTGAAGCTGTCTTGTGGTTTTGCAGGTCACAGAAGCTGCAGGAGGAAGAGAGGAAGAGGAAAGTCCTCTGTCTCTGAAGGACAGGCTGGTCCCGTCACCGCTCTCAGCCTCCTTACTCCAGCGACTCTGAATCTCTGAGGACAAAATCGTCCAACGGTGAGGACGTAATTGATTATAGCAAGCATGGTTATTCATTCCTGTGAGGAACTGGGCAGACAGCCAGTAAAAGGAAGGGGGGTTGTTACACTGAGACTACCCTGGACATAACGCAGTGAGAGTGGGACATAGTTCTAATTTATTTTTAACAGTAAAACAACAGTGAAGCTCACCGTTAAGGTGTTTATTTTACTGTGTTTGTTTTGTGTGTGGGAAGCAAGGAAAGAGAATAAACTAACACAGTAAACATTAACACCAGTGAACAGTTAACACAACAATATCCGCCCTGCCGCTCCCCGTCTTACAGGTGTTGTGTTTCCTTCTGAGCTACATCAATATTGAAATGTGGCTTCATAAATTGTTAATGAGAAACATTACTCTGCCTCAAACATTTTACTTTCCTGCTCCTGTCTTTTGTCTCCTCACCCTAAACGCCTCCCTCCCAGACCGCAGGAGGCCGCCGGCGCCAGAGAGACAGAGCGAATCGACTCAGCCGACATGCGATGACTGGGTCATTGTTAACCCAGCGAAAGGGCGCGGGGAGGGAGGTCAGTGACCGCCTCTGTTTACATTTCACACACCTGAGAGACGCAGAGCGAGCAGCTCATTTCAGGAAGCGGTTTTGTGTTGTTCAGTTCCATTACAGTTGGTGTACAAACAGGAAGTCAGCGAGTCTGAGCCGACTTGAAGGAAGCAGCAACGCAGAAACTTCAGACCAGCACATTCAGCATTTAACAATCCTTTTGTGTCTCTATAATAATCCGATTATTGATCAGGTTTGTGATCAGCAGACAGGAACAGGTTGTAAGTGTAGCTTTGTTTCCCTCTGCGCCTGTGACCTGTTTCTATGTGTTTCATGTAGGGAGAGGGTCAAAGGTTGTGACATTTATGATCCCCCAAGAGAGCCATATTCTCCTCTCAACAACACAGAGTCCAACACGCCCAGAGTCCAAACACCAGAGTCCAAACGCCCAGATAGCACCAACACAGAGTCCAACAACAGAGGTCCAACACACGAGTCCACAACACAGAGTGCCAAACCACAGAGTCCAACACAGGTCCACACCAGAGTCCACAACACAGAGTCGCACAAACACAGAGTCCAAACACAGAGTCCACAACACAGAGTCCAACAAACAGAGTCCAAACACAGATCCAAGACAGAGTCCAAGACAAGTCAACAACACAAGAGTCCACACAGATCCAACACAGAAGTTCACAACACACGGTCCACAATCACAGAGTCCAACACCAGAGTCCACAACACAGAGTCCAACACCAGGTCCCAACACAGAGTCCACAACACGAGTCAAACACAAGTCCACAACACAAGTCCACACAAGAGTCCACAACACAGAGTCCACACAACAGGAGTCCCACGAACACAGAGCCACAAACACAGAGTCCACAACACAGAGTCCAACACAGAGTCCAAACACCAAGTCCCACAACACAGAGTCCACAACCCAGAGTCCACAACACAGAGTCAACACAGAGTCCACAACACAATCCACAACACAGAGTCCACAACACAGAGTCCAACACAGAAGTCCAAACACAGAGTCCAACAACACAGAGTCCAACCAAGAGTCCACAACACAGAGTCCACAACACCCCAGAATCCAAACACAGAGTCCAACACAGAGTCCACAACACAGATCGCAACACAGAGCCAACACAGTATCCAACACAGAGTCCAACAACACAGAGTCCACAAACACAGAGTCCACAACACAGAGTCCACAACACCAGAAGTCAAGCAACACAGATCCAACAACACAGAAGTCCACACAGAGCGACCAACACAGAGTCCACAACACATGATCCACCAACACAGAGTCCAACAACAGAGTCCACAACGAGTCCAACACAGAGCCAACACAGAGTCCACAAACACAGAGTCCACAACAAAGAGTCACCACGGCAACACCGATCCCAACCACAGAGTCCACACAGAGTCCACAACACAGGCGTCAGGATAGCTCATCAACTCCAGCCGATCTGTTGGTCTAACGTTAGCGTGTTTGCTGAAGATAGTATCGATGGATATGCTAGCGGCTAGACACGAGCTAACTAATGTACATTAAAGAACGTGACTAATATTTATGATTTTTGTCTCGACAGTAAGAGACTTGTGATTAAAATGCACTATTCTACATATTAATATATACTATATAATTGAATAT